GTGTTGGTGGGCATGCATCTGACAGTGCCAGAGAACTAAATACTGGCTTTGGTGGGCATCCATCTGACAGTAACAGAGAACTGACATACTGGTTTTGGTGGGAATTCATCTGACAGTGACAGAGAACTGGACTATTCGTTTTGATGTGAATCCATCTGACAGTGCCAGGCAACTGAAATACTGGTTTTGGTGGGCATGCATCTGACAGTGCCAGAGAACTAAATACTGGCTTTAGTGGGCATCCATCTGACAGTAACAGAGAACTGACATACTGGTTTTGGTGTGAATTCATCTGACAGTGCCAGGGAACTGAAATACTGGTTTTGGTGGGAATACATCTGATAGTGCCAGAGTACTGAACTATTGGTTTTGGTGGGAATCCACCTGACAGTGCCAGCGAACTGAAATACTGGTTTTGGTGGAAATCCATCTGACAGTGCCAGGGAACTGAAATACAATGTACTGGTTTTGATGTGAATCCATCTGACAGTGCCAGGAAACTGAACTATTGGTTTTGGTGGGAATGCACCTGACTGTGCCAGGAAACTGAATTATTTGTATTGGTGGGAATCCATCTGACATTATCAGGGAAATGAAATACTGGTTTTGCTGGGAATCCATTCAACAGTGCCAGAAAACTGAATTATTGGTTTTGGTGAGGATCCATCTGACTGTGCCAGTGAACTGAACTACTGGTTTTCGTGGGAATCTATCTGACTGTGCCAGAGAACTGAAATACTGGTTTTGGTGGGAATCCATCTGACAGTGCAAGGGAACTGAAATACTGGTTTTGGTGGGAATTCATCTGACAGTGCCGAGGAACTGAAATACTGGTTTTGGTGGGAATCCACCTGACTGTGCCAGAAAACTGAAATATTGGATTTGGTGGGAATACATCTGACAGTGCCAGGGAACTCAAGTACTGGTTTTAATGTGAATCCATCTGACAGTGCCAGAAAACTGAAATATTGGATTTGGTGGGAATACATCTGACAGTGCCAGGGAACTCAAGTTATGTTTTTGATGTGAATCCGTCTGACAGTGTCAGAAAACTTAAATATTGGTTTTGGTGGGAATCCATCTGACAGTGCCAGAGAACTGAAATACTGGATTTGGTGGGAATCCATCTGACTGTGCCAGAGAACGGAAATACTGGATTTGGTGGGAATACATCTGACAGTGCCAGGGAACTGAAGTACTGGTTTTGATGTGAATCCATCTGACAGTGCCAGAGAACTGAAATACTGGTTTTGGTGGGAATACAATTGACAGTACCAAAAAACTGAAATACTGGATTTGGTGGGAAACTATCTGACAGTGCCAGAGAACTGAACTATTGGTTTTGGTGGGAATCCATCCGGAGTACCAGGGAATTGAAGTACTGGTTTTGATGTGAATCCATCTGACAGTGCCAGAGAACTGAATTATTGTTTCTAGTGGGAATCCATCTGACAGTGTCAGGGAACTGAAATACTGGTTTTGGTGGGAATCCATCTGACAGTGCCAGGGAACTGAACTATTGGTTTTGGTGGGAATCCATCTGACAGTGCCAGGGAACTGAAATACTGTTTTTTGTGGGAATCCATCTGACAGTGCCAGAGAACTGAAGTACTGGTTTTGGTGCGAATCCATCTGACAGTGCCAGAGAACTGAACTATTGGTTTTGGTGGGAATCCATCTGGTAGTACCAGGGAACTGAAATACTGGTTTTGGTGGGAATTCATCTGACAGTGCCAGGGAACTGAACTATTGGTTTTGGTGGGAATCCATCTGACAGTGCCAGAGAACTGAACTATTGGTTTTGGTGGGAATCCATCTGGTAGTACCAGGGAACTGAAATAATGGTTTTGGTGGGAATCCACCTGACTGTGCCAGAGAACTGAAATATTGGATTTGGTGGGCATGCATCTGACAGTGCCAGAGAACTGAATTATTGATTCTGGTGGGAATCCATCTGACAGTGCCAAATAGATATATATGTTAATTCGATGAGATACAGCAATTCATTTGCATAGTTATAGTTATAGTGTTAATATTCAGATTACAAGACCGATTATAGGTACTACATAGTTACATGATTTTAGTGACGATTACATATATGTGATTATGTTGATGCGACTGTTACAAGTATCAATGCAAATACGACTGGATGATTATATTGTGTGATACAGTTAAGTGGTTACTAGTACGACAGTGATACGAATACGATAGCAACTACCATTAGAATAGAATAGTACTTGATTAACACCGTAAAGAAAATATTACTACATCAATGAAGTTGAAAAATATTAATACCATCGGGTACAGTTAAAGCGTGGTGGTAGTCACGCAGCGAGTATTCGAATTTCATGTAAATGAACAATGTATTTTACACGCGTTGTATACGTTGCTATCATACGAGTATCATATTGAACAGGACGTGGCACGACAACTGCCGCCCTTTAAGTAGTTAACGTTATACTGTAGTATATGAATGCATTATTGAAGGGAAACCTTTATGTGTGAACACAATATTAGAGTAATAAATGTATATATTCATTACGGAATGATAACTGCTGTGTTTGCATCACAATTATTTTCGAAGCTCTTCATCATCACCCAGTGATTATTTCTCAATATGGATTGAAATTCAGTTTTGACCTCAGAGAGCCCTGGATCTGTACAAAAACCAGATCGATCATTTGATAACTAAAACCAGCCATCTTTTCTTTTGGCAATAATGTGTCTTACATATGCAACGCAAAATACAAACACAGGAATTATGTGTACCAGATACAGTGATATAATTAATTGTTGGGCTTAAGCCATTCAAAAATTGGTATATGTAAAACAGGTATATTGACGAGTAGATAGTTTGTAGCAATTTATGTTCAACTACAGGTCAAGGAGTGGACAGAAAATTTTATATTCATAATGGAGAGTAAAAACAAAACATTGTGTAGATTCGCTAAAAGGTTCTACAAGAACAGGTAGGTTAGACATATATTTATTTGTTATTTCTAAGACCAACATTGTATAAAACAGAACTCCTTTAGTGAGCCTAAAAGGATTTTCTCGCATTCAACAAGTATTAGAAACACCACAAGCTTCATGCAATTTACTCAATTTTGACCAACACTTTGGGTTTATATCTGAAATTGTAACTATTATTCTCTTGTTTGCTAACCCTACAATAACGGGCGTGTTTTTTTTTTGCCATTTACGAGGAAAGTACTCTTTGTTTGTTCGTAACAATGCCAGATTGCTAGTTTCTTTGGTCTCAACAATACTCATTTACTAGGAGAGGACTGTTCTCGGAACTAGGTTGTTCTCACATGACTTGAGTGAAAAGCACAACAATCTCCTCACTATTTAAAAATGGTACATTTTTTTAAGCACCCTGGATTTGAACGATTTTCAGATCAACAAGCTGTGTGAATGCATGGTCACTTTTCAGAATCAGCTAAGCAGGTGGTTTGTGGCTGAAAGCAACATGTAGTCTACTGTGATATCTACATGAATTGGGTGTGATTACTACAGGTCATTGACACATTGTCCTTCTATACCAAGGGAATTACATAACACACATACAACAATTACATTACAACAATTGACAAATCTGATATTGAAAACACTGTAGACATTCTGAAAACAAAAGATATACAATCACTAATTCATTTGGCAAAATATATCTTTGAGTGCTTCAATTTAAGAAATGACACTCATAAACAAATACTACCAGTTGTGTTATAATATTTATAATTGGTATAACTCATTAAGATATCTTTTCTGTTCTCCCTGTTTTTTATTTTATTATGTTTTCATTTTGTCTTCATTAGTATTTTGTCTTGCCATTTTGTATGTATCTGAAACTTTATTGTATTTTAAAAATCCAGATTCTGAAGAGGATATGATTTCAATAAAGGCATAATTATTATTATTACACTGTGACAACACAACCATGATGGGGCTGCAAAAAAAAACACCTTTGTTAAAGTACAGGCTGAGGATGTGTACTAGAACCTCAACCCTAAACAGGCTATCAACAACGGGAGGGTCGTCACCGTATTGTAAACCGTATTGCTGTCTTCTATTACTAATCTTCTAAGGGAATTGAGTCCCAAGCGACAATAAACACACACTAAAAATGCAAAGGCTTGTTTGTAAACAATGACACACTATGGCCATCTGACGCATGCACAGGTGATGACTCTCCTGCTTTAACTATCTGAACAAAAGTGGGGAAATATATCAAATAACCAAAACTTTCTCATGGTGTTTCATTTGGTTTTTGCTTCATTATTGGTCATTTCTTGGTTGCTTTATTTACTGGAACATTGAAAACACCAGTTTTTACTCAAATTCTAAACAAAGTTCTAACAACATACTTGGACAACCAGTGTGTGCACAAGCACATTTGTCACCAAGAAATGTTGTGTTTCACATCAAAAACCACCTTGATGTTGTGTTTCACATCAAAAACCACCTTGATGTTGTGTTTCACATCAAAAACCACCTTGATGTTGTGTTTCACATCAAAAACCACCTTGATGTTGTGTTTCACATCAAAAACCACCTTGAAGTTGTGTTTCACATCAAAAACCACCTTGATGTTGTTTCACATCAAAAACCACCTTGATGTTGTGTTTCACATCAAAAACCACCTTGATGTTGTTTCACATCAAAAACCACCTTGATGTTGTGTTTCACATCAAAAACCACCTTGATGTTGTGTTTCACATCAAAAACCACCTTGATGTTGTGTTTCACATCAAAAACCACCTTGATGTTGTGTTTCACATCAAAAACCACCTTGATGTTGTGTTTCACATCAAAAACCACCTTGATGTTGTGTTTCACATCAAAAACCACCTTGATGTTGTGTTTCACATCAAAAACCACCTTGATGTTGAAAAATGCATGAAATTTTAAAAGGAATGTCCAATTTCACAGAGAAACTTGTGCAAAAATAAAGCTCTAAAACCAAAGAACAGAGAATGATTTTTATTGGTGTGTGTGACTGTATTATATATATGCTTGATAATATAAACAAATATGCATTTACCACTTGACTGTACTGCAAATATTTCATATAATCACTAAACAAAGCTGGATTGTATTTTAAAACCTGTGCATTTGCATTTGAAAATTACAAGACGTTTGAATGTTGTAAATGAATGCATAAATTAAACAATATATCCCATTCTTACAAATATCAGGAACTGTTTGACGACAAGCAAATGTGTGATTTCAGAACCCAGTAGATATCTTGATTCTATGAATGCCTACCCAAGCCAGTTTAACTATCTAAATGACATCCAACATATTATGACTGGGCCACACTGAGTTAGTATTGGGACTCGTACTTAATAGACCATTTTCCGTTCACTGCGAGAATCACATGTTGTGTGTGAAATCGAACATAAAAACAGGACAAACAAAGGTCATAGCGTAGTAGTTGCGTCAAACATCGCGTGGGATACGACAAACACAAAAATATTTTAAGAGGCATTTTCATGCTTAAAAATGTGCTGTACACATTTTGATGATAATCAATTTTGATTACGTGAGAGTTTTCAAAAGCAATATTCCTCTGTCGAAGATCGGCCGGTTGATGTGAGCTAGAAATAAAGAAATTTGAGTTCAAAATCAAATCGTTCGTTTTTTGCGGCAGTTGTTCGACGTACGTCTTTCATGCATCTCCCGAGATCTCGCAGTTGAACGGAAAATCACCTATTGCTCAGCCAAACATATCATCATATCCAGGAGGAGGAAGGTGATCTGGATCTGGTCCAGATCGGTAGGCTGAGTCTGGTCCATGTCCTGGAGGTCCAAATGGATCAAATCTGGCTCCTGGAGGAACGGCACCCCTGACAAGAGAAACAAGCGAATATGAATGGACATGCAATAGATTACAGCATATTTTAATATGCAAATGAGGATGGAGGTCAATTTCAGTTTTCATCTCAGGATTAAAGGGGAGCAGAGGTGTGGCTTTTGACACTCTGTACATGAAATTTGAGATCTATGAATGAATTCTGTCGATAAGTGCTGCGAAATGCTTTAAATATCGGGTATAAAACGACAAACGTCCGCTTTTCCTGGCGTCATTTCGCCTCTAGAGGGCCAGTCAAATGACGTCATCAGTGAACACTGATAATTGAACCCATTCATGCTAGTACGTCAATCCCATAGAAATGCTACTATGAAAGACCTTGTTAACTGACTACTTAAAAGTTGAAACATGGCGAGGTGTTGTGTTATGAATGTCATAACGATTCATGTTATGTTTCTCGAAATCCCAAATAAAAAATCACGTTGTTGGTTGCAAAAAATCGGCAGAAGAACTAACCTAAAAATGAAGACACATACAGCGTTCTGGCTATAGTAAACAGTGAGTGAATAAATATTGTACGAGTTAAAACTAAATGAGAAATATGCTAATATCACTTGAACTACAGTAATCATTTCCCCTAACACAACACTGTGAATGAAGAATGCTATTCCCTCGATTGAACACAATACTGTTCACATGGCAGTCTGAACAGAATGTACCCAGTACTACAGGGACACTATCATTGAATAGTTGACACTATGAATGTTTGCCAGTTTTTAAAAATCTGCTGTAAGCTAATTGTTCATTTCCAGGTTCTAAATTCAAACAATTGTCAAAATTATCAAAATTACCATTAGCAAGGTCTAGGTTTATTGCGTTTGAATGAACTGCATGCACAGTGTGTGCGATTTAGGTATAGACAAACAGGATACAATAAAAGAACAATACACACATGTACAGTTCTGGTGACAGTGCCAGTTTAAAGAAAGTATTCCCTTCGGGTCTCAATGACGTATGGATAGAGCACATACTGTAGAATACTTTATTTTCGCTTGGAATTTATTTTCGCTATTTTCGCTGAAGGGATGATTCCGTGAAAATAAAATCCAGCGAATATACATTTTTTCCTATATTTTACATTAATCTCAACAAAAATCAGTGAAAACAAATTCCAAGCAAAACGCCCAAAATACCTTTTCAGCGAAAATTAATTCCAGCAAAAATAAAGTATTCCACAGTAGTATATTTACACACTACATTGAATCAAGTCTTGAATGTTGTCGAGCAATTCGGTTGACAGAAATAAAGTACCTGGGAAGTCTTCCTGGTATTCCAGCACTAGGATCTGGGATTCCACCTCTTGGAAAACCGGCTCTCATTGGATCCATGAACATTCCAGTTCCACCTGGATGGAATGGATCCAGGTCTCCTGTCCCAATATCCAATGGATTATTGGGTTCACCCCTGGAAAAAAACACTTGTACTTGTACAAATAATACAGTGGGGATTTACGCTGTAAAATAAATAGACATTTATGGCATTTGTATAGTAAATTAGATAATAGAAACAAAATTCAAAATCACTAACAACTTTGGAAGAAATCTTGATGTATCAGACTAACTTTTTTTATTCTGAGATGAATCCTATTGAAGTGCATATATAGATATACACCATTACGTTGAATTTTTGAATCAAGTCTCTACAAAATTGGTCTAGGAACACCTAGGAAATAATGTCAGATGGATGGATGGATGAAGTTTAAAATGTAATTTCTCATTTTCAAAATAAGAAAAAAGTCCTTACCATTCTGGTTGTCTTTCAGCATGAGGCCTCCTAGGTGGCCCTGCTCTTAAAGGATCGTTAGCATAGGGTCTGTATCCTTGTTGGTTGCCTGGCAACCTCTCATCTATAAGAGTGGAGCTTCCTTTTGATGTTTTTGAGTCTTGTTTTCTGAGATCACTTATGATTTCTGTTTCGAATTTTTCATGTAACTCATCCAAATTTTTGAAAACACTGAAACAAAAAATATTATTTGAATATTTATGAAGAATCCAAATGTTGTTTTATTATTTGCTATTAAACGAACACATTTAACACTAGCAGTAGTTTACACTAGAATATCAATAGATGAACAGAAAAGTTAAAATGTTGATGATAGATAAGCATCTAAAGATGTTCTAAAACTATTCAATACTTGATTGTGTCATTTATTGATTATTGATTATTGAAAATACATTGGAATATGCAAATTTAGTCATCACAGCAATGTCGGTTGTTAATTTCAACCAGTTTTAAGCATGTTCCATTTAAGATAGAGCTGTGAAATTCTTCCTAGAGTAAGTAGATATACTTATAGATTATAGATTATATAAAAAAAGTTAACTTTGATTAAGATGCGCCAAAAATGATTAACATCCATATTTTTTTCTACATTCTAATTAGATTAGATTACTTACTATCAAACTTAGAAATATTGTCAGGATAAAACTGAAGTTATGTAACTGTTTTACTATCTTTGCGATTGAGGTTGACAATCTGGAACCATTCTGGCATGCTCGCCAGTGTATGCAAATGGTGCAATTTGAGAAGCAGTGGCAGGTTGGAAAAATGAATGAGTAGTTTGTATTGGACTAGGGGCGACAAGACTGACTCCTGGCAAGTTATTGAAAAGGTAAGCTAGTTAACCAAATAATCAGTAATGGTAAAGTCAAAGGGCGACAGTCGTCGTGTCGCATCCTGTTCGATATGGGGACTCATAGCGACGTATACAATGCATGTAAAATACATTGTTTATTTACATGAAATTCGAACACGCGCTGCGCGATGACTACCGCGCTTTAAGGCAGTGGCCTAGTGAGAGTTGTATGACTGAGTTAATGTTATAGCCTTTGTGTTGGTGAAATTGGTGTGTGCAACAGGTGTAAACCATATTGCTGTTTTCTATTACTAATCTTCTAAGTGAAGCGAAAATGTGCTATCTTAAAGTGCCTGTGCAATGCCCACCCTCACGTTTCCCATTTTAGATCTGTGTCCCATTGAAATGGGCAGTTATTGATTTTTTTGCCGAAAATGATTACTCGTATCCAAGTAAATTTAGGATATTTCTCGTGTTCTAGTCACGCCACCTATCCTGAAACGGTCGACTGTTTCCAGATTTCCGACTCTCGCCGAAAGTGCGCCACCAAATGCCAAAATGTGAGAGGAAGTCATACCCCCGAGCCGTAATAACACTGGTCATTCAGTATACTTTTAAACGATATATATTTTTCGGTCGGCGTTTTTTTTTCTTTTTTCTTTTTGACTATTTTAATTTTTTGAGAGAGAGTTTTTAGATGTTGTGTTGTGGGCAGTTGCAGTGAAACGTATAGTCATAGTGTAAGTATTCACACGTTTCTAATCGACCCGAAGGTGCGACATCAGTGGACGAAAGCCACTTAACCTCAGATTCATTTTTTTTTTTTTGGAGAAACTGTCGTCGTCCATGAAAAAAACAACGTCGACAACATAAACCTGGCGCAACACTTTTGAAAGAAATAGATTCCGGACCAT